CAGGGGTGTGCATAATGTCGATTCGCTCCAGCGGGGTCGTGTAGATGTAAAGGCCGGCGACTGGGTCGGTTAGGTCTTGTGCGAGGTCGGTTTGTGCACGTTCGTAGGAGGGCCAGGGCCCCGACCGGGGCGCGGGGAGGTAATCGAAGATGGGGTGTGCGTGGGCACGCGCAAACAGACTCCAGCGGTCGCCGGCCTCCCAACTGGACCACCCTGCCCATCCTGTCCAGTGCCCGCCGTAGGAGCCGCTGCGGCTGGCCTCGCGATGCCTGCCTGGGCTGAGCTCGCCCCAGCCCCCGCCCCAATCAAACTCATCCCGCGTGACATTGGCTGCCCGGGGTTGCCGGGGGATGCAAGGGGACGGCGGGGCCCTGCGCTCCGGAAGGCGCGCGAGGTCTCCGTCGTCTTGCCCAGCCAGCACCGGGGAGGCGCTGGGGCCGTCAGCAGGCGAAGTGGGGCTGCAGGGCTCGCCCGTCGCCTCGGGGCTGCCGGAGGGGTCGACCTGTAGCGCCGGCGGTTCCGAACTCGGGGTCGGGGACTGGGCGACGGGCGCCCCTTGGCGGCCCCGGGAGGGGGCAGGTTTGTCGTCTTGGGAGCCAGCCAACGATCGGTGTCGGAGGCAACGTCCCCGCGGGCGGCGGTGTCGCCATCCCCACTGGCAAGGGGGGGCTAGCTACGTTGGTCTCTCGAGGGGGGGGAGGTGCTCGGGACTGCTGCGTCAGTGCCAGGTATGTCAGCGGTCGGGCTCGCTCGCCGTGAGTGGCTGTCCGCAGGGGGGCGAGATCTGGCTCCGCGGGCATGGGGAGGGCTGGATCCACTCCGTACTGGCGTCGAGGGGGAGGGCGCAGCGTTGCCCCAGTCGGGGAGCTCGGGCGCGCGGGCAGCAAAGGTGTGGAACTCTGCCAGTGGGTCTTCCTTCTGTGTCCGCTTCTCGTTGAACTGCGTCCACCAATCGTTGTCGCTGCGCCCCCTGCTAGGGGCGTTGTCGACCTTCCTGCGTAGCTCCTGCGTGCACGCGAGAAGGACGTCCTTGGCCAGTTTCCCGAATGACCCGGTGGCGGGCGGATCGGAGCTGACCTGCGTCAAGAAACCCACGAGGGCTTCCTGGGTGTGGCGGAGAGGGGAAGGGCCGCGCACGGACCATTGATTGGCGTGCAGAAGCCATTTAGGCCGCATGGCGGGGGCGGTCGAGTGAACGCAGAGGTGTGGGGCCACGCGGGCGGCGGCGGGTCCCTTGCTTTGCCAATGGAAGTCGTTGGGGAGGTGGTTTGGCGCAACCCTGTCGCCATATACCCTCTTCAGGAAGAGGCGCAGCAGGGGCGGGCCCCATCTGTCAGGAGCCTCGAAGCCTTTGAGTTTTTGCCCTGTTCTGCAGTCTAGTCCCTCCACTGGTCGTCCAAGATTGGGTCCAGGTCGCGTAGGATCCCTTCGAAGTTGACTAGACTGACCTCGATGGGCCTGCATCTCAGGCGGCTCCGTTTAGCCTCCTCGGCGGCCTCCAGGTGATCAGTGTCGATGCCCATCAGTGCGGGGCCCCTGGGGGGCCCCGCATGAGGTAGGAGGTTGCGCACCTCCACGGCCCCACGCGTTGTGGGCCCCCCCCCGTATTTGTCCGGGGCGAACAGGCCGCGGGCGCCGCCGCTCTTGCTGAACGGGGCAGGTTTAATGGCAGAGGCCCAGTTGGGTTCGAGCTCGATGGACAGCGACGGTTCGTCAGGCACCGGCGGGGCAGAGCGCGCCTTGGAGGTTTGGGTGCGCGGGTAGACCAGGTGGGTGTCACGGTCGAGCACGCCGTCAACGGCGCTGGGCTTAACGCCCCATGCGTGGACGAAGCGTCGGCGGCACATCCACGCGGCGTTCCAGCTGCGGTTGTCCCAGGCGACGGCGCGGCCCTCCCACGCGGGGAGGCCGCCCGCGCTTGTTTGCCGCGACCCCGCGTCAGCCTTCAATGCTAAACAGCCGAGCGCTGGCGCTCCTGCCAGCCGAGAAAGAGGAGGGGCCCCAGGTGGGCACCCGTTGTACGTGGCGGTGTGGCGCTTGGATTCAGCTGCTGTGCACCCAAATCTGTCGCCCTCTAGCCGCGTGGGCGGTAGGGTGGTGTTGGCGTTCTCTAGGACATGTAGGCCTGAGGGCTCCAGCAGGTAGTCCTCGAGGGCGCCGGGGGCCGCGGCGGGGGTCGGCGCCGCGCGCGCGTGCTGGGGGGCAGTCAGGGGTGGGGCATCCACGGGGGGGGGGGGCCTGGATGAGGTCCCTGGCGAGCGCAATGGCCTGCGCCTGCTCGCGGAGAGAGCCGCCCGGGGACAGTTGGCGACCCTGATTCTCGACCACGCGCGCCCAGCAATGGCCGCGCAGCCATGCGCGGTCTAACCCGTTTGCGCGCGCCCGCAGGCAGTTCTGGGCAAGGTGCGAGCGGATGTTGTCGTCGAGCCAAGTGCCCTCCATGCGCTTGAGGTTGGCCTTGTACCAGTAGTCGCACTTGCACGTGGCCGTCTGTCGGTCGGCGCAGAAGCGGGCGTCGCCAGGGGCCAGATAGCAGGGGGCCTCGGTCACGCCGGGGGGCGGGGCGGCCGGCAGCGCCCCGCCCAGGGGGCGAGCCCGAACGAGAACCCCCCGCTGAGGAAAGACACCTCTGCTGAAGGAGCCAGCGCCGGGCCTAAGCCGCTGTCGCTGCCCGCGAGGCCCCGGCGCAGGAAGCAGATGCTGCGATAATCCGACCGCGAGAGGATGCCGATGCTGGCCGGCTTCGCAATATCCTCCATAGCTCGAAGGGGAAGTTTTCCATCTCAGCGCAGGTAGCGGGGCAAAGGGCATCCTGCGTGGCGGGGCGGTGGCGGGCAGTGGACACGAGCTTGCCCACGAGGGCGACCAGGCCCTCCAGCCGGCCGCGAAGTCGACGGAGATCGGCGAGCGCGAGCCCGCAGGAGGCCGCGAACTGGGAGCGGAAGTGGCGGCGGTCGTTTCCCCGGGGGCAGCGGGCACCCAGAACGGCTTCAAACGCGTCCTCAGACCCAAAGGGGTTGGGGAAGGGCCATTGGTAAGCCCGTGGCTCGCGCTTCACGAGCAGCATGATGATGGGGGCGCCGCGGGCCCTCTCGGTGGACATAATGCGTTCGTTGGGGTCGAGCAAGTCGACTCGGTGCTGCGAGTTTCCCTTGTGGTCCTGTAGGGGACTGACGAGTGTTTCGTAGCCAAGGTAGACGGGGTGGCGCGGGCAGGCCCTGGTCCCGTGGGACCATGCACGGGGGGCGTGGTGCTGGAGGTCGGGTGGGGCGCAGCAGGTTGCCCGCGTCGAGCCCGAGTCCCACGTCGCACAGGTACCCCGAATGGCTCCAGGTTTTCCCGTCGAACTGCGCAGGGTCGGAGGGGGCGCCCTCGTCGCTGCACTTTGCGTTGCCCCGCAACCATGAAGAGGGCGACGGAGAAGGCGGGGCCGGTCAGGAGATCCCCCAGCGCTTCCATCCGGCGCCCGAGGTCTTCCCAGCGTTGGTCGACCTCCGGGGGGAAGTCGAATTGTGCGTCGAAGCTCTTGGTGTGCTCGTCCCGCCTCCTGGCCGCAGCCTGGTCAATGCTGGCTCTGGCGTCGTCTGCCTCGTTGGCGGCGAGGGTGTCGGGCCCCGCTGGCACCCAGGAGGCGAGGTCCCGGATGGGGTCGACGGTGGGATCGGGGAGCAGCTAGGTGCGATTGCCAGGGCTGTGGCTGGGGAGTTTGCGAAACCGCACCCAGAGGCCTCCGAGGCGACCGTAATTAGAGAGGAGCCGCAGCTGGGTGTCGGCCATGGAGGCCATCATGCGGCCGTCCGCTATGATCACGATACCTCGCTTGGCCCGTGTGAGCCCAACATTGACTCTGCTGGGGTTGTCCACGAAACCGCAAGTGTGAGTGGAGTTGGACCGCGTAGTGAGAAAGATGACCAAGTCTGCTTCGCCACTTTGGCAGGCGTCAGCTGCGGATAGGGCGAGCCGCCCCGAGACGAGGCGCTCGTGGGCAAATTGGCGGATGCCGGGGAAAACGCGGCCCAAGCCGTTGAAGCTGGAGGGCCAGGGGCTGAAGACATGCCCCCGCCCTTGCCGCTCAGGGTTGTAGTCTGGGTCAAGGGGGGTGGACACAGTGTCGGCGCACGGGGAGGTCTGGACCGAGGCAGCGGGTGAGCGGCTCCGCTGCGGGGTGGCAGCTGTGGAGGGAGAGTCGGCGCCGTCGCGGCGGCGACGACCAGGGTCGCCCAGTGAAGCGACTCGTCGCGATGGGAGGGGAGGGGGTTCAGAGGGGGGACGCATGCCGTCCCTTGGTCTCTGGGTCGGTACCTGAGCGAGTCGTGTAGTCGCTGGGAGATGAACAGGGTAAGGCCCATGTCGGCTGCCTTTTGGACAAGACAGTGGGGGGGAGTTGCTGGGGGTCGCCGACGACCACGTGGTGGCCCCCGCTGCGTAGAATGAATGTGGACCAGGACATGGCCGCGCTTGCCTCGCTCGTTTGTCCCGCTTCGTCAATGATCCCCACTGGGAGGTAAAGTGACGTTTTGCCGCTGACCTCGGCGGCCTCTTCGTGGGTCGCGAAGACTGTCCCTGCCCGCTGCACCAGGTGTTTCTGGTAGGAGATGAACACTATGTTGTCGCCGTGATCGGGGGGGTCGGTGCCGTTAGCGTGGTGATCATGCAACTTTTCCCGTCGGGCAAGTCGAAGAAAACCGTGAGGGAAGCGAATGTCGTCCTCAAGGAGGCCCTTGTCCTTGGCAGCGGAGAAGGCTTTGAGGGTTGATCTGCGGCGGTGTTGGAGTCAAAGAAGACTCCGACGGCTTGGCCGGCGCGCAGGGTAGGAACCCAAGCTGAGACCAAGGCTACAATGGCGGCTGTCTTCCCAAAGCTGGAGGGGCCGTGCACCAACGTGAGGTGGTGGGAGTTGCACGACTAGAAAACCTGCCTGGGGAGGTCGTTGACAGATGCGCAGCGGTTGTGCGGTCGAGCTGGGAAACGCTCGGGACAGACCTGGGTCCCAGAAAGACGTGTCCAACGCTCTCGTCGATATCGTTTGCGCGGATGGCAGGGTACCCTTCGGTGCCAGGGTGGGCGGTGTCGGAGGTGTCGGGGTCGTGGATGGCCTTGCCAAGGGTGGACGATGCGCGGCGGCGGAGAATTGTGCCGATGTCGTGGCCAACCTGCGCCTTGTTGGCGGTCTGCTTGTCTTGCCTGCGACCTCGGCGCTCCTGAACCCCAGGATGTGCGTAACGACGGGGATGGGGACGCCGAAGAAGTCCTGCGGGTCGTAGCCCCGCATGTATGTTTCCACGATGGCTTGGTGGAGTTCCCAGTACTGTAGCTCGGACGGTGCCTTGTCCGCTCTGTAGATGGGTTCGGACGCCTTGCCGGTGGCTGGAACTGCCGTCTGCTCAGGGTGGAAGGGGCCGAACTTTTCGCGATTGTACCGCACGAAGCAAATATTGAGGGGGTACCTGGTCTGGTGGGGGTACTCGGAGCGTCAAGAATTAAACAATAAAAAGGCTTCTATCCGTGCAACTGGTGGGAGATTTGAGCTGCGGTATGATGAATCGCAATGACGTTTCAAGCGAAGCGCCCGACCTGGCCTGCAGACACGTCTGGTGGTGCGACAGGGGGAAGTTATTCAGAAAGAAAACTGATGGAGGAGGGAGTGGGAATGGGGGAGGCGGTGGGCGGTGATGAGAGGAGGAGGGAGGAGGAGGGGGAAGGAGAGGACGACGCCGACGACGACGACGACGACGACAGGAACGACGACGACGACGACGACGACGACGACGACGACGACGACGACGACGACGACAGTAACGACGACTACGATCTCGACCAGGACGACCACAACCACGACCACGACCACGACCAGGACCACGACGACAAACGACCACGACCACGACCACGACCAACGACGGCGAACGTCGGCCCCGCGGGTAGCGGGGCGAGGCGCCGCGGCGAACGCCGCCCTCTCCGCGGGCAGCAGGGGCGCGGCGGTGCTATGCGCCATGGGGGCGCCCCCGCGGGGGCGCGGCGCGCGGCGGCGGCTTGCGGTGGGGGCCGGGGGATCGCCTCGGAGCGGAGCGGGCCTGGCGTTCCCTCTGCTGCCGACACTGCTGGCGAACTCAAAGGTGCCCTGGGGCCCGCTGCTCAAGATTGCCACCCGGATCGCGAGCAAGCCCCCATGATCCCATAAAAGGGGTCCTCAGGAGGAGCCAGGTGCCTAACAAAAAGCATGGTGGTGGGATGGGTGGAAAGTAGTTGGGAATTCAGCCCATTACAAAACAACGCCATGATCCCCTACAACTCGTCGATCCCATGCGTCCGTCGATGCGTTGCCCCCAGTCCATGGACGCTTGCCTTTACAAAACTCAAACATACCCTGCGATGATTGGGCCCCATCATTGCGGATGATGGCGTGAGAAAGAACCCGATGACTTGTGACAAATGGGAAGGGGACTCGCGTGTTACACGACCCAGGTGGATGGAGGACCACATGGGAAGTACACGAACGAGGCGGGAGCTTGGGAGCAAAATGGTACATGGCATGCAGCGACAGGCAACGAAACCGAGGCTGGACCCCCCACCTCCTCCTGAAAATTGAGACAGTCTCGCAATTTGCAGCCGACCCCCAGGGATGGCCAGGTCTAGTCTGGGCCCCCGCTTGGTACACATCAAGATTGTCCCACCCCCCTGCTTCCCACCCAGCAGCCCAAGTGGCGACAGCTTCGCAGTTCGCCGCCCTCCAAGCATGGTGAGATAAAATACGAACCCCCGCTCGATACCCACTATGCTGGCCCCTCCCACCAGCCTGGAAAATGGAGATGGTTCCGCAATATGCAGCGCCCCCCCCCCCCCCCCCAAGGCATGACGACGACGTCTAATATGTGTCACCGCTCGCTCGAAAGAGGCCACAGTATCGCCATCCGCGCACGCAGACCACACACTCATCACTCCGCTGGGCCCCCCAGCAGCCCTCGGAAGTGGCAAGGGTTTCGCGGTTTGCAACCCTGCAGGGATGGCGAAATCTAATCTGAATTCCTCTCGCTTCGCGGGGCGCACATCGGAGCACGTTAAGCCCAGACGTTGTGGGGCCTGGTGGAAGCCTCTTTGAGGCCTCGTGCAGGCATCTTGGGGGCTTCTTGGGGGCCTCGTGAGGCCTTTGGGGGGCGTCTTAGGCCGTCTTGGCGCGCTCTTGCGCCATTTGACGCCTTCGGAGGCCATCCTGTGGGCCTCTCGCGGCCGCCTTCGGGCTCTCTTGGGGTCATCTTGGGCCGTCTTGGGGGCCTCTTGGACCGCCCTGGGGGCCTCGTTGGGCCGTCTTGGGGCCCTCTTGGGCCGTCTTGGGGTTCTCTTGGGGACCTCTGGGCCCGTCATGGGATTATTTTGGAGGCTGCGTGCGCCGTCATGGACCTCTACGGATAGAACAGCCGAGAACGGTAAAGTCCTTCAAACACATAAAGACAAACAGTGGTATTGGGCTCTGGAAGCGCTCTTGGGGTCATCGTGGGGCCCTTCCGGGGCCTTCTTGAGGGCTTTTGGGGCCCTCTTGGGGCCATCTTTGACCGTCTTGGGGTCGTCTTCGCCCGTCTTGAGGCCATCAGGAGCCGTCTTGACGCACTCTTGGACCCCGAACAAGCCCGAGGGACCCATATCATAGATTTCCCATAGATTTTGTACGTTTGCAAGGCCCCCGAAAGGGGGCCGCCACTTTGGTACGGACATGTGATGCGACTCCAGGGGAGGGGTTAGGGGGGAGATATGCAGCAAACCCGCAATATGTGACTATATGGAATTACAGCATCCGCGGACCTGCCTCCGGCAACACGTCACTTCCAGACGTGGATTCCTCTCTCTTCGCGGGGTGCACGTCCAAAGCACTTACAGTCCAGTCGTTGCGGGGCCTCTTGGGAGCTTCTTTGTGGCCTCTTGGAGGTGTCTTGGGGACTTCTTGCCGCCTTTTCTGCACTGGGCTTCTTTGGGGCCTCTTGGGGGCGTCTTGGGCCGTCTTGGGGCGCTCTTGCGGCGTGTGGCCCATTCGGAGGCCGGTCTGGGGGCCTCTCGCTGCCGTTTTAGGGTGTTCATGGGGTCCTCTTGAGTTGGGCCGTCTTCGGGCCCGCTTGGGCCGTCATGGAGGCCTTTTGAGTGCTGCTTGGGCCGTCTTGGGGCCATTTTGGAGGCTGCTTGGGCCGTCATGGGCCTCTGTGCCGGGGTTTCAAAAGCACGCGGTGCTCGGCAGTATCTATGCGAGAAGCGGCGCACAGCTCCCAGCGTGACAAAGCAGACTTGCTCTGCCCCACTTGCTGGCGGGCAGATTTGGCGCCGCGCAGCCGATCCAGACCGGTAATCGCCGCTGTGGAAAAGTGCTCAAATATGCAAGGTGTGAGCGTTGGTTGGCGTGACCTGCTCGGCTGCCGCGCGCGCGTGCCGCTCCGTCCTGCAATCCCCAGGGCTTCTGGGCGGCCTCATGGGGGGCTCTTGGGAGCCTCTTGAAAGCCTCGTGGGGGCTTCTTGGCGTGTCATTGGGGCCGCTTTGGGGCATCTTGGGGTTTCTTGTTGACGTCTTGCGCCGGCTTGGGGCGCTCTTGCGCCGTCTGGCCCCTTCGGAAGCCATCTTGGAGGCCTCTCGCGGCCACTTGAGGGTGCTCTTGGAGTCCTCTTGGGCCGTCTTGGGGGCCCCTTGGACCGTCTTGGGGGCCTCTTTTGGCTGTTTCCGGGCCCTCTTGAGCAATCCTGGGGCCCCGTTGGGGGCCTCTTTGGCCGTCTTGGGGTCGTCCTGGAGGCTGCTTGGGCCGTTATGGTCCTCCGAGAGCCGAAAAAAGCGAGAACGCGACAACCTTTCAAAAACCAACGGAAAATCAATACTTTTGGTTCCTGGAAGCGCTCTTTCGAGTCCTCTTGGGGCCCCCTTGAGCCGTCTTGGGGGCCTCACGGGCCTTCTTGGGACCATCCAGGGCCGTCTTGGGCCGTCTTGGGACCATCTTGGGCCATCTTGAGGCCCTCTTGGAGTCCCAAGAGGCCCAAGAGGCAGAATGTGTTGATTTCCATTGTTGTCTGCAGGCTTGGAGCCCCAGAAGGACGGCCGCCACCTTTGGTACGGCGTTGTGGCGCGACTCCAGGGAGGGGTTAGGGGGGGAGACATAATCATGTAAAACAGTACGATCTGTTGCAATTTTACAACGATTGGATACATAGGATACGTTGCATTATCGCCTCCGCAGAAAACGCTGCCGCTCAGCACGTCACTTCTGGACGTGGATTCCTCTCGCTTCGCGGGGTGTACGTCCGGAGCACGTACAGTCACGTCGTCGCGGAGCCTCTTGGGAGCCTCTCGGGGGCCTCCTGGAGGCCTCCAGGGAGCTTCCTTGGGCCACTTGGGGACTTCTTTGGGGCCTCTACCCCCTCCCTCCTTCTCACACTCCCTCCCCATATTTCCTTCCAGCGCCGGCTCTAATCATGGGCGCCGCTGCGACCAACTTCCACCTGGCTGGCGCTGCGCCGCAGTTCGCCCAGGTTGGAAAAATGGCATTGCACTCCAGTCGCTTCTTTGGAGCCTTTGGGAGGCTTCTTGAAGATCTCTTGGAGGCCTCTTGGGGGCTTTTTGGGGGCCCTTGGGGGCCTCTTGGGGGCCTCTTGGGGCCTCTTGGGGCGTCTTTGGCCGTATTGGGGCGCTTTTGCGCCGTTTCGCCCCTTCGGAGGCCGTCTTGGGGGCCTCTCGCGGCCGCCTTGGGGCCGTCTTGTGGTCCTCTTGGGCCGTCATAGGGGCCTCTTGGACCATCTTGGGGGCCTCTTTGGGCCGTCTTGGGGTTCTGTTGGGCCGTATTGGGGCCCTCTTGGAGGCTTCTCGGGTTGTTCTGGAGCGATTCGGGAAGCTGCTTGGGCCGCCAAGGCGAGAACTCTAAAAGATTACCAAACCATAGGGGAATCAATGATTTTGGCCTCTGGAGGCGCAATTGTGGGCGCTCTTGGGGCCCTCTTGGGCTGTCATTGGGGCTTTTTGGGCCCTCTTGGGGCCATCTTGGACCGTCTCGGGGCCGTCTTGGCCCGCACAGAGCCTATCTTGAGCCGTCTTGGCGCCCTCTTGGCCCTCCAAGAGGCCCAAGAGGTCGAAATCATTGATGTTCTATTGGTTTTGGTAAGTTTTTGAGCCCCAGGAGGGGGGGGGGGGCACTTTGGTCCGTTCCTGTGGCGCAGCTCCCAGGGGGGGGTTAGGGGGGGAGACATAATAATGTAACACAACACAACATGCGGCAATTATGCAATCATTGGATATTACCTAACATCGAAGACTGGTAGGTTTCTAGTGGGCTAAAAACAGCTCACAGATCACTCCACAGGGGGGTCCGGGCAGGTGTTGGGAGTTGCCGGGCGGGTTGAGTCCACCTCGTTTTTCACCAACAGTCACACACTTCGTGCTCTTCGAGTTCCCAGAACTCCATTCCCAGGCTCATTCTGAATAACCGGATGCAACAGTCACACACTTCGTGCTCTTCGAGATCCCAGAACGCCATTCCCGGGCCACATTTAAATAACCGGATGCAACAGTCACACACTTCGTGCTCTTCGAGTTCCCAGAACTCCATTCCCGGGCCACATTCTGGAGGGCCGGATGCAACAGTCACACACTTCGTGCTCTTCGAGTTCCCAGAACTCCATTCCCGGGCCACATTTTGGATGCCCGGAGCCAACTGTAGTCCACTTCCTGGTCTTCGAGTTCCCAGAACTCCATTCCCGGGCCACATTTTGAATAGCCAGACGCTTCATATCCTTCCGCCACAGCCGTGTTTGGTTCAGGACTTGCTAGTGACACTGCAGTCCACTGCATTCAATCGTGCCACTGCATTCATTCACTGCAGTCCACTGAGTTTCGATTGCAATGGCGTTCCCCTGGCCGTACCCCCATGTCCAACGTTCATCCGCAGCCTCTGCTCCGCGAGGCTCGTCCGAAGTGTCGCCGCCTCGCGGTGCTTCTCAGCCTGCGCCGCCTCGCGGTGCTTCTCAGCCTGCGGAGGAAGGTGGACAGACGCCTGGTTCTGGCGCTGTGCAGCCTGCGTCTTTCACGGTCGCCTCGTTC